TATTGTTCCTATAAATTAAGAAATAAACTAAGGAAGTGCACTTGGAATACCACTTACGTACGATGATATTGGCATAACTGGTTAATGGTGTTCGTCCATGACCAAGATCTCATAAATGCTAGAGTATGCCAGAATAAATGAAAGTTGGGGAGCCATCGGCAACAGTTCACAAGGGTTGGCATGCAGAATGAACTGACAAAATCCACTCGCCAAATGGGCTCAGAAATAGAGAGGAATGGAGAAGCGTTTGAATTGCTTTCTTGGTGAGTCCACAGTGAGGACAGTTTAGATGAGAGATGCAGGTGTTGCTTGAGTAGTAATGCTGTGGAAAGGGTAAGAGAAAGAACAGGGAAGAGTGGTTGTGGCTGAAAGAATGTTTTGGCAATAGATAAAGGGAAACGGGTCATCTGTACTGGATGACGACACTCCTTCGTATGGTCGAGTATCTTCCTCAACGCTTTTAATAATTAAATTATGCAAGTGATGCACAGTGTTCCTATGGATTTTCTTCATCTTTATACAAGGGCCGCGATGAACCCTGCCAGTCAATCAATTGCGCTACCGCTTGTTGTAACCGGCCTATGAACCAACAGGTTTGTCAATACAAAGGGCATCACAACTTCGTGTATTACAATCTTGTACAACCTTCTTAATAATTAATTCAGTTTAATGCTATGTACTAGTCTAAAGTACAATAAGCAGTTAAGCACCATCCGATTGCAGATTTTTTAATTGGCCTTTCGCCAACAGGCCTCACAATCTCTAACGTTTTTGTTGGTTCATCGTTTGTCATATTTCATATAGAGAACTTCTTCCTTCCGATGCTAAATTTGCATATTTTCTACGCTAACGCCTCGTCATCTTCATTTGCAGATGTAAAAAATGAAAAATAACACATAAACTGGTAGCTTACATGCCAATTTGTTCGATAAGAGCATCTCAAAAGTACAGAAACCAAGTAGCATAAAAATATGCTTGATTTCATTACAAGAATGTTTTGCCAATTTGTCACCGCCGTCCACCAACGGGCAGAAAGTCATATGTTTGTTTTTCTGCCAATCAAATCATTTGACTGGAAACTGCTAATTCTTGATGCCGTTTTTAGTAGTGTTCGAAGTAGTCTGAAGTAACCAGAAAGCAGTCCAGGGAAACGATCTTTAGTTACAGAGGATAAGGGAGATAAAATAATACAAAACACAACGTAATGGCCTCTGTAGCAGAAGACAGAAGGAAAGAAGGAATATTTTCAGTCGGTAGAATGCCAGCTTTCCTTGCATGTTCATGATGGGTCATTTCTGACACCCCACTTTTCATGCAGTTAATGATATGGCGCTAATCTGCATATCTGTGCCATCAATCAGGACTGCTTTGTTCAACAGATATGTAGCAAGAATTGCGTGTAATTTCCTGCTTCCCTACTATAGAATGGGTGTAATTTACCAACTTCGCATGGAAGAAAAGCGATGAACCTGATCGGCGTGGGGGGGGGAAGGGGAGGGAGG